AAAAAACAATGAATGTTATTACACGACCCCATGTGACTATTCCATCATTAAAGAATTCATTAACTATTTCATAATGAAAACTTCTTAATTCAAATAATGATAATGATGAAAAATGAAAATTAAACATTGGTTGTTGAGAATAATAACTTGTTTCACAATCAGACGCAATTTTATGTACAATAATTAATAAACGATTATTTCGTATTGGTAAATTTCTTAAACGCCAATTAAAATAATCGGTTACAATTAATCGTGTTGTTGTTGGATTATCATTAGTCGACATATTGTTGAGTGTTGTTTCTCTCAATGAATGATCTTGCATGTACATGTATATATATATATACGTGATTATCACGACGGTCAAGGAACGAAAAAAAAATAATCACTCTTTTGTTTTTTTGTTCTCTTGCATTTTAGTCGTCCGTATTGTGAATGTGAAGATGGTCATCATACAACAATGTTCGACCGCTATTTATATTCAGCTGCTTCCTCTAGCAATCATATCGGATAATTTGCTAGATTACAGATACTTGAAGAGAGCAATAAATGCCAATTAAATACACAGTAAAAGAATAAAATGCCGCTATCGAATATCTCTGATGATTTCGATGAACATTGTTAAAAAAAAGATGAATAGCTGTTTCGATATAAACAACACAAGCGATAAATCTCTTAGGTGTTTTATGGTTACATCTTCAACAAGTGGTTAACATGTTAACTAGTATTGACACAACATGTCAACAATGTTTGAACTCTATCGAGATATTTTATGATTCATATTTTAGTCTAATGATAATGAAAATGTTGTGCATAAACATTCATTCATGACTCATCATTTGATTAATTAAAACAAAGATTTTTTCGTTCTTTATGATCAATGAATACAGATAAAGTAAAATCTAATAAAATTCGTTTGAAATCTACGAATTATCTTTTTCAACCGATTGTATCAGAAAATGATATAATAAATCAACGTAAATTACCATCACCATTTCAAACTGGTTTTAAATATTTAAAATCATTAGGTCAATTAAAAAGACAAAATGAAAATAATTTGATTGATACACATGAAGTAAAACCAACAATTATCAATCGACTTGAACGTACTTCAGCATTTTCAACAAATTATTATGCACCATTATTACCACGTTTATCATCTCATTTAATTAATAAATCTATTCAAGTTGATGATTTTGATGGATTATCATATAAAACTGCAATTAATTATTCTTATTTATCTTTTCAGCAATATTTTATTATTTTTATTTCATTTCTTTTTTTTATTTTATTAATTTTCTTTTTCCAAAAATATTCTTATCCGAAACATTGTTTATTACATAAAAAATATTGGTATCCAATTCATTTATCAAATGGTTTACAATGTACGAATACAAATATTGAAATCTATTATGTTGAAATCTATTCGAAAATTTATCAATTAGAAATACAAAAGAATATTAAATCAAG